ATACTGTTTGTACTATGTCAGTTTCATAATTTCTAAAATATCGCGTTTTCACATGTTAGGTTGGTTTTAATGTATCACGTTTTTTCACGTCACTTTGTACAGTAGTATCTTTTTTGTTTATTTTTTGGGGGAGGGTGGGGGTTGTTATGAAATGTATGTGGCTGTTTTGTGTGTTCTTCTGCCTGCCTTTGTAGAAAAAAAGAGCGTTTAAAATCAATACAGATATGGCGAACGATATAACTAAACAAGTTTTAAGGTTACAAGTCGCCATTATTTTAACCACCTCACCTTCTCCAATCTGTTAACAGATCTGTTAACAACTGAACTAATGTGAACATTACTTTCATAAAATATTTCTTGAAATATTTCGATGAAATCACAATGACAAAACAATATCTGTCCATTCGTTAGGACAGACATAATTTTACATAACATCAATAATAAAACCCGATTAAACGAAGAATACGCATGAAAAAAACAAAGAATTATTTAATTGGTTAGATCAGAGCTCCTCAAACTTTTTGTTTCATCGCCACTTTCACATGGAAAAAAATCACCACCTATCTGTATAGAAAATATTCAAAAGTACACTAAAATTGTTTGGTAAATGTTTGTTACTGGTTCATAAACTGATTCTAAGTTACAGTAAAAAAAAAAGGGGGGGGGAAGGTAACGAATAATACTGACTTATGCTGTGATGGCTGGTGCTTCTATTACCGCATTAAAGAACAAGCATAATATGGTTAGGATTAGCGTTGCAAGTGGTGACAAAAAAAAATTAAGATTTTTGTTCATAATTATGTAAATTAAAAAGGATATACATTACTAGCAACTAATAAAAATTCAGCAAATATTTTTTTGGTTCTTGGTTTTCCCTTATTTAATTTATATACGAAAAAATATGTTATTTCGTCTGAAGAACTATTTTAATGTTAATGGCCCTTCTCAAAACGATAGAAAATACTAAAATATTTCTTGTTTACGGGGATATTTATATCTTATCTAGGAATATGACCCAGTTATTCTCATTTAAACTCCTGTTTTTCTTTGTTTTTTTATCTTTTTATACAGGTTCTTTGAATATCTTTAGATTTTTTTCGGGTAGCATATGTTAAAATACGTTTTTAATAATCAAAATCCACCATTATCGCCCACTAAAATTTCCAGTCGCCTTCTATTTTCTGTTCAGTTACTCATCACCCACCTAAAAGTTGAAATCGGCCACCGGTGGGCGATATCGCCCAGGTTGGGAAACCCTGTGTAAAACTTGAGCTAAAGAAATTGATATTGCCGCAAAGTCACATCTTTTGATAAAAAAAAACAATCCTAACTTCCTTGGTTCGAATGAATTGGAGGAAAATCACAAGACATTTTAAAACTAACCCAAATAAAAATAATACTCTCGAAAATCTTCTATTTCTTCATCTCTGGCACAAAAAAAATGAAATCTAAAATGATTTTAAAATGAAAGAAGAATAAAGATGAAATATAAATATTACCGTCTTTCTGGATGTGAGTGATCATAGCTCTCCATAACTTTTTATTCATTGTAGCCCTTAGCAATGCTTCTCCTCTTACTATTGCTGTACTGTCATACATTTAGACAAGTTCGTTAGGTATGTTACTCGCTGTTTTCTCTTGCTCTAGCTTTACTATGTCTTGTGAATTTCAAATTCTCTAAGCCCTCTTTCCTCACTAGGTATTGGAGAAAATGATATTGTTTCTTTCTGATTCTAAATTCAGTTGTCTTCTTCCTTCCCGTTTTAGAACCACATCGCTCTTGCTTCAAATCTCCACTTCATATTTAGGGAGATTGCCCTGCATCCATTGACATAGAGAAGAACTGACATTATATAGCAGTTTTTTCTTTGTTTCTAACGGGATTTTCCCGTCTCTTAATGCTTTATTTAGTTATTAGTGGGCATCTATTTCAATGCACCTTCGGATTTCTGTGAGAATTTTTCCGTCTTTTTTTTAAACACTCCTCAGATAAAAATTTCAACTTGCTTGATTCTTTTGACTCCATTTCGTTGCTTGTATCTTGGGCTGTACCGTTTTGTATTCTCAGCATCCTTCTGTAGCACCAAATCTGTGTTACCTAAAGTATCCTCTTCATCTGTGAGAATATTATCCAGCCTTCGCTACCCTATCGGAGAAGTGATATTACATAGTCATTCATCACTATTTCTAACTAGATTTTTCCTGTTTCTTAATACTTTGTTTAACTTATGTAAAGCATATTTCCCTATGTTAATTCACCTTTAGATCTTTGTGTCATATTATTCATTATCTGTTATAATACATTACAATTAAATTTCTGCATGTGCATGATTTTGACGCTTGGGGAGAAATAAAAAATATAAGGGGTTGTTGACAACGGATGAATCAGCTTCTGTTTTTTTTGTTTTGTTTTTTTTTGTTGTTTTTTTTTTTCTTTGATTTCTCTTTTCTTCTCAAACTTTCGTCATAAAACTGACAAACGCCACGAGTTAAAATAAAAAGCAGCTTAGAATTTTTGAAATTAATTTCCTGGAGTATTTTTCATATTACTTACATCTTTTAGAAAATTATTTTAAAAGACATTGTGCGCGCCTGTGTGTGTGTGTAGGAGAGAGGGAGAGAGAAAGAGAATGAAAGAAACAGAGAGGAAAACATTCATTCGAGACAAGAGAGTAATAAAATATGAAAAGCATTGAATCGCGTCCATATTTTCTTAATTTTATACTCATCTAGCGTACAAATTATCTTAATGAGAAATCAAGCCTGAAGCTAATCAAGGGGAATTTTAGATTTCTAAGGTCATTTGGAATAGACCTGGAAAAATAGTAACCACGATATACTTCTAGTAGAATATGTTTTTTATTTTTTTTATCAGTCGCTTATTCCGTTTGTTGCAGACTGTGCAGCAACAGGAGATATTAATGTTAATTTAATGAGCCTGCTCTTCCATGCTGGCTCAAGGCATGATAGAAGAGAGCACTTGAAGATTTTCCTACAGTAGGTTGCCAATTCTTCCTGTGGTAGATTCGTTGCTAACCAAGGCTATAGAACTCAGTCTGCCCTGCTATTCAACCCATAGCCGAATAGAAAAGAGATGGATTTAAGGGTATTTTCGTGTAACTGAATATAACAAACTCGACTGAAATTTGAACTATAAAAGGCGACCCAAATTCTCATTCTGAGTTCTCATCCATTACACCTCAATGAACATCCACAGAATAGAATATGTCGACATTTAATTTAATTGGAATTTTTTTTTAAATATACAATGATTTGAATTGGTGATTTTAAAACCTTAAAAAAACTATTAATACGTTTGTTGTATTTGCTGTTTTAGTATTATTGCACTCAGGAAAATAAACCAACAGACGCTGGCCTTTCTTTAATGCCGATCTCTTTTCTTTTTGATGAGATCTTTTTTATCCTTTTTCTAAATAAAATAAGACGAATACAGAATATCTTTTCGTCTTTATAAAGCAAGAAACATCAAGAAGATTATAATCGTGAATATAGGCTGAATCTATTTAAGCAAATCAAGAAACCTTTTTAGGATTTTCATGGCTGCCTTGAACATGCTTTGTGGTTAATAACATCATCGCCCAGGCCATTATATTAGTGTTTCAATACTCAAGGTGAGTCTTAACCTGCGCCAAATTAAACCAGCTATATAATAGAGATATAATAAATTTTACTAATAATTACTTACTGGGCGTGACTTAATTTCGTATAAGACTATATTAATATACGTAGCACCCAAAACGATCACAATCGTCATCATCATCATCATCAGCCCCATGTCCGGGTGTGGTCATACTGCAGCTGGACACCCACCTAACCATTTGAATGTCGGAGAAGTGTTCACTCATGTACGGTGTCTTGGGCAAGTAGACCTGATGGAACCCATCCTTTATACCATTCCCAAGGGTATTAGCACGTAAGTCAATGTAATGGGTTCGACTGGAATTTGAACTCGGCTCTCCGATTCCTCAATGCGAGCCGTTATCCATTACTCCACCGTGCGGTACATATAGCTGAGTAGACGTTGCTTTTTTTGTTTGTTTTTTTTTTAACAGCGAAAGTAATGTCTACCGGTATAGAGATCAAAAAAAAAATTTGCGAGGCGCACGATATATGGAAGCAAACAAAAAATCGTTCTTGTTCTTTTAAACTCAGCGTCTAAAAATTAGCTAAGAAAAAATATAAACTGGACTGCGCCAAAACATGTGCTGGCCAGTGCAATTATTGGTAGAACACTACCGGAATAATAATAAAAAAAAACTCTCTCCATTCTCTACTTATTATACAACTGCAGAAAATCAAAGATCATTTGATCAAAATGTGGTTACTAACAGCAAAATAAGATTAATAATTCAAGCAATTGCGTACATTTAAGGTTTTTG